GCCCTGCCATTCCATGTCCCTTGCCCCGTTCCTCCTCCTCCTCCTCCTGCTCCTCCTCCTCCTCCTCCTCCTCCTCCGATGAGAGGACCTGCAGGAGAGGATGTCACACTGGGACCCAGCCCCTCCCCGAGCACAGACAGGCTCTGGGGAGTCAGCGGCCTCGGCCTCGGCCTCGCCTCCCGGGCTCTGGATGCACCGGAGCTGAGCCAGAGCCGCCAGCTGCCTGAGCGCCGAGGCCCGAGGGCGGCCGGGCCTGGCCCACCCTGGCGCCCTCAGCGGTCAGCAGGCGGCAGGGACGGCGCTGGGAGCGGTGCTCGCATTGCCTCTGCCCCTGCAGCCGCGTGTAAACAGGTCTTACGTTCGTCCTGGGGAAGAAGTGGTATCGGCAGCGCCCACCTCCTCCTGCCCCCTCCCTCACCCGCACTGCCCCCTCGGCGCACAGGCCTCTGGCCGGGGCCGGAGCCCCGGGAGCCGGGAGGCCTGTCCCCCGGGGTTCGGGGGACTGGCGAGGCGTGCCAACAGGAACCGCCGTTTGCATCTGCTGTGCCGGGGGGTGCGGGTGAGGCCCACAAACGGTCCTGTGGAGGGTGAGGAGCAGCGGGAAGACAGGCAGGGGGACAGGCAGGTGGACGTACTGACCCCAGAACCAAGGACGCCAGGTGCCGGTGCAGGAGGCCGAGGCCCGGCCTCCGTTTCTTCATCTGCTGGCAGGGAGGGGGCCGTTCCCAACCTCCAGCGGGCCGGGCAGCTGGCAGGACCCGACAGACCTGGGGCTGAGGTCTGCGTGGTGGGCCTTGGGGTGGGCAGCGGGGGGCCGGCCCTGACCTGCCCCTGAGCACCAGGCGGCTGGCTGTGGGGAGGGAGCCTGAGGGCTGGCAGAGCTGCCTGCAGGGGAAGCTGGTGTGCGGCGGGCGCCAGGCTGGGCCGAGCGCGCCTGGCGGTGTGTGTGCCCAGCGCACTGGGCGTTGTGTGTGCCGTCTCTAATAAAGTCTGTGGTGACTGGCCCGGCCTCGCCTCTGGGCCTGTGCAGTGCCCACCTGGGAGCGGGAGGCGGGTTGGACACCACTTCCCCGACGGCGTGAGCCCCGGGGGCTGGGATTCGGGGCGAACCCGGGCTGCTGTCCCTGTGTGTCCCATCGGGGCGAACCCGGGCTGCTGTCCCTGTGGGTCCCTGGGGGCTGGGGCTGGAGTCCTGAGGAACAGCCCCCAATGGCTATTTACAGTCAATCTGGGGCTTAAAGGCAAACTGGCCCCTGAGCTTATTAAACCAAAGCCAGGCCTGAGCGAGCGCCTGCGTGGGAACCCGGCCCCGTGGGTCCAGGCCCCGGCCGCCCGCGCACCCCGTGGGTCTGCTCGTCCCCGCGTCACGGGCACCAGGCCCCTCGGTGTCCTTGGCAGCAGGCACAGTCCTGCCGCCCAGGCCGCTCTGCATCAGTCACAGACACCTGGGGACGAGCCAGGCCACTGGCAGTGACCGTGGGACTGTGGCCCCGGCTCTCCACGGGCCCAGGTGACAGCCTTGCCCAGCTCGGGCCCTTCCGGCGGCCCTTCCCCCGCCAGATGCGGCTCTGGCCCGGCTCAGAGGCCTCCTGGGAGAACTCAGAGATTCAGTCACGGGTTCTCAGGGCCAACAGGTGCGTGTGGTTCAGCCAGCACAGAGCCAAACAGAGGGAGGGGTGCCCGGGACAGAGCAGCAGCACCCGGGGAAGGCCGGGCACAGAGAGGGCACCGCCCAGGCTCCTGAGCACCCGCAGCGCCGCCTCCCCCGCCTCCTGTAGCTCAGACCCTCAGGATGTGGGCGTCACCGCGTCAGGGAGGAGCGGAGGCTCGGAGAGTGGCGGCAGGTGCTGAGGCCGCAGCTGGTGCGTGGCGGGCGGGGCAGGCGTGGACCCAGTTCTGGGGGCTCACGTAGGGCTGAGAGGGGGCGATCGGAGAGCCGAGTGGGGCCCTGTGACCGCCGGTCCCTGAGCTGGCCCTGTCTCAGCCCTCACTTTGGAAGACGTGCCCGACCCTCCTCCTATGGCTTCCCAGGGCCCCTCTCCCCGTGCTGCGGCGCCCCCTATGCCCTGAGACCCAGCTGCAGGCGACCCCACCCTGCCCTCCTCCCCCGCCCCACTGCTGGAGGCCCTGGGTCTCGGGGTGGTAGAAAGTGTCAGTTGTCACCCCCAGCTGCTCGAGTTGGGGGGCTAATTCCAGGGAGGGGGGACCCCGAGGCTCTGAGGACCAGGAAGGGCACTGGAAAACCCTCTTGGGGCCAGGTGCTCTGGGATACCTGGGAAAACCCTAAATTTGGCACCAAATCCCGCATCAGACTTGGCTCCAGGCACCTCTACTGGGTGGAGGCTGAGGCTGGGCTGAGGAATCAGTGGGTCATACAGGGGCCTCCTCATGTCTCCCCCAAACTGGCCCCACCCCAAACCTGTGCCCAACCCTCTGGACTTCCGGAGGCCACTTCCCAGGGTTCCCGCTCCCAGCCCCAGGCCTGGAGGGACCCGGGCGAGCAGCCGTCCTCTCTGCAGAGCCTCACCCCGAGCCCCTGGCCTCACAGCCCCGGGAGCTTTTCTCCGGGCGGGGAAGTGCCCTCGGACGCTGACCCCACACTCTCCTCCCCTCTGCAGCTGTCCCGGGACTCAGAGCACAGCTGGGGAACTGAGGCCCAGGGGGCCATGTGTCTGGCCCAAGGCCTCACAGTGAGTTAGGGACTCACCCAGGCTGCACCCCATCTTTAACCCACACCCAGGGTCATGACCAACCAGCGCCAATGTGGGCAATCAAGTGACGGCACCGCCCTACCCGCTCCATGCACACACGTACGCACACATGCATGCTCACACGTGGGCCAGCCCCTCTGAGCAGCCCCTCCGGCCCAGAGGTGCAGGTGCTGAGCCAGGCACTGGGTCCCGGGAGGACTCGCTGGGGCTGGAGCTGGGGCTCCGGGCCCCTTGCGCTCCCTCTCATGGGGCTCCCCTCCTGCCTCAGCCTCTGGGCACCAGTGAATTGTGGCACCTGCCAACTCACCTTAGCAACTCTCACCTGGCGAGTGGGACCGCCTGGGCTCCCGGCGCCTGGATCCCGTGGGAGACGTGGGAGGGAGGCTTCTCCGGACAGCCAGGAGCTGACCGAGGCGGGGGGCCGGATCGTTATGGGGGGCACCGACCCCTCCGGCAGGGCTCAGGGCCTGTGCCAGGTTCAGTCAATGCTGCCGCCCACTCTTCGCCAATGAGGGGGCTAGTCACCGCTTCCCCTTCCGGTCTTTCGTCAATGCCTCCTCCCCCCGCCCCCCCCCCCCCAACACACACACACAGCGTCCCCAACGGGATCCCAGGGCCAGGAATGCACGGCCATCAGCGCGGCGGCCAGTCCGCAGCTACATAAGGAGGGAGCCGCTCCCGCACAGACTGGCAGCCGCTGGGAGCACCTGCACAGACCGGCAGCCGCTGGGAGCACCGCAGGGTGAGTACCCCCTGCTCCCAGGACCCCCGGGCCAGGCAGGGGGACGGGTCCTCACCCCACAGCTCTCACCTCCCCCGGGGCTCCCTCCCAGGCTCTCCCTGCCACACCCCGGGTGGCGAGTGTCTCAGCCTTCCACCAGGGTCCTGAAAGGTTCAGGGTCCCAAAGCTGAGAGGGGCCGCTCCCTCCTGAGGCCCAGGCCGTCCCCATGCAGACCCCTCCGCCATCAGGCGCCTCCAGTTCCCGCAGCTGTGGCCGTGCTTCCGGGGGGGGGGGGGCGTGGGGAGCAGGAGTCCACCCAGGCCCGAGGAGGGGCTCCCAGGCGGGCAGCGGGGAAGCCGAGGAGGGCTGCTTGGTGCCTCCTGTGAGGATGCTGGCTGAGTTCCCTCCGAGAGGGCGAGAGGGCCGGGAGCCGGTGTCCTCTCCCCTCCGGCTCTTTCTTCCAGCCTCGGTCCTCAGAGAGCCAGCCACCCCGACTCCCACGGTCATTACCAAAAGGGCTTCCTTTGCGAGGGAATGAGCAGTCACGGCCGAGGCAGGGGCTAGTCGGGAAGTTCTAATCGGGGTTCAAACCCCCTCGTATCACCAGCCACACAGCAGTTTCTCAGCCCAGTTAGAGGTGGGCTTGCCTCCCGCTGTCCCAGTAACGCTGTGAGATTGGAGCCAGTCACCGGTGTGGGCTGCCGCCTCCCGGAAAAGGGGTAAGAAAAACGGGGGGGGGAGGGGAGGGGGGTATAGCAAGGTCAGTCTCAGCCGTGGACAGAAAGCAACGAGCCAGAGCCCCTGTTCTCTGTGACCTGGCACCATCTCCTAGCCTTCCTGACGGTTTTCTCGGTGGAACACGGAATGACAGTGCCTTCAGGTGAGGTTTATTGTGAAGAGGAAGTGGGGGCCACCGATACCCCAGCCACCCCACACGCCCCTCCCCAGGGGGGTAGCCGAGTGGGACCAGGTTCGTCAAACCCGCTTCCTGCTTTGGGAGCAACTGGTTTCCAACTTGGAGCCTTCAGCAGTGTCCCGGCTGAACAGTTCGCTGGACCGTTTACTACCGAGTTGAAACCGAGAAATTGTGCTCCAAGCTCTGCCCCGAGGCTGAGACGGTGTAGCTCGAGAGCCAGTCATTGTTATGAGAAAAATGAACCCAAACATGCCATCTCCCTGGGAGCGGCCTGTGTGCTGCTGTGAGCCCTCCAGCCCCGGGGGGATCAGGCCCAGAGGTGGCAGCAGCGGGAGGCCAGCCACTGGGTGCAGCCAGCACCCGGGCCCCCGCACAGTGCCCGGTCCCCAGCTGACCCTTGCGGGCGGCCCGGGCGGGAAGCAGCGGACCAGCTGACCCCCCGCGGGCGGCCCGGGTGGGAAGCAGTGGACCAGCTGACCCCTGCGGGCGGCCCGGGCGGGAAGCAGCGGACCAGCTGACCCCTGCGGGCGGCCCGGGCGGGAAGCAGCGGACCAGCTGACCCCTGCGGGCGGCCCGGGCGGGAAGCAGTGGACCAGGGCGGTGCGGGGCCACAGGGGCCGCCACTAACGTTCCCTCTCTCCTCTGGGCCAGATGGTGCGCCCTCGCCTCCTGTCCTGCCTGCTGCTCCTGCCGCTGGCCGCCTGCTTTCCTGTCCTGGACCTGGAAGCGCCCATGGACACCCCGGGGGGCACCGGAGGCGAGAGGAGCTGGGCCCGCCTGGCCCGGGGGCACGCGATCCGCTCCCCGGGGGGCCCCTCTCCGTGGCCGGGAGCGCCCCGCCCGCTCGCCCTGCTGGTCGTGGCCCAGGAGCCGCTGCTGTCGGGCCGGCCGCACGCTGGCCTCCCGCTCCGGCTCCGGTCCGGGAGGCAGGAGGGCGGCCCCGGGGCCGAGGGCGACCAGGCTGGGAGCCCGCTGGGGACGCTGGCCGAGGAGCTCAGCGGCTACAGTAGGAAGAAGGGCGGCTTCCACTTCCGCTTCGGCCGGCGATGAAGGCCAGGGTGGGGGGGCCAGGGCAGCCTACCCCGGCCCCCTCCCCGCCAGAGGCCCTGAAGAGGGGAGTGTGACCATCACGAACGATTAGCCGGGGGACTGTGGTGGGTGGCGCTTTTCATTCCCAACTTTGCTGAAGCAAAAACCTGCATGGTATCCAAAGGGAGGGGAACAAAGCAAGCTGCCCCTGCAGCCGCCGCCAGGGGTCTGGGTGCCTCCCTGCGGCCCATGGACAGGCCGCGGGCTGCAGGCAGGAGACTGATCACAGTGGGTCATCGAAGTTCTGACAGCCCCTATCGCGACGCCAGGGGGAGGAGTGCGCTCCGCGGGGCCGAGGGTGGCTCTGCAAGTAAAAGATGAGACCTGTCCTTCCCCGTGAACACACATTCCCTCGGGCAAGGACCCGCTGCGTGTCCAGAGGCCCTTCCGCCCGGCTGCCCGCCTCCCGAGGACCACGCTGTTCACTGGCACCGTCTCCGTCAATGTCTCTTGGGAGATGGAGAAATAGTTTTTGCTCCAGCAAGGCTGCATTGCAAATGCTCCGACTATGAGCTGTGTGTGTGTGTGTGTTTTCTGAAATAAAAGCTGTAACAGCCCTAACTCGGAGGGAAAGCTTGCCTGCCTCTCGCCCCCAGGTCCTCTGCGCCCCGGGAACCGGGCTCTCCTGGGCTGCTGGCGCCCGCACTTTGGGGAGATGGAAACCCCCTAATTGGCTGTTGGTAGAAGGGCCGTGGTCAGAGGGGGTGGGAAACACACGTGGGTGCCCCTCCCTGGCTTCCTCCAAGCCAGGTGTGCTCTGAGCGCCAGCTCTGTGCCCGGGAAGCCTGCTCCGCCCGGGGGCAGCAGGCCGGGGCGAGGGGTGCGAACGCTGCTCTGGTGCGTTATCCCCCCTTCTTCTGCCTCCCCCCCCCCCACCTGTCTGTGTCAGGCTCCTCAATCTGACGCTTCTCACTCCTGCTGAGGAGACCTGTATTGATGTTACCATGGCAACATCTCCCTTCCTCCTTTGGAGCTGCTGCCTGCCCCTGTTCGCAACTGAATAATTTTCCACTGAGCTGTCACAGTTAATTGGTGGGTTTTTATTAGCCTTTTAGCACCACGCTGGGCGCCCGCAGTGTGTTCCAGGCTGTTAGTGACCGCATTCCCGCAGCAGCTCCATCCTCGGCAGCCAGAGCTACTTCACTGAGGGGTGCACGGCTCTGAGCCCCGAGCGGGGCCAACTGGGTGGTAAACGGGATGGGCACGCAGCAGTCAGAGCATCACCTGAGGCCGCAGCAAACGGCCTCCGCCTGGCGCTCCTCATGCTCCTCCCGCTGCCCCGGGCACCTGTGCGGCTGGGAGGACCCAGACCGAGCGTGCGAGGCACACGGTCCTCTCACCCCCCACGTCCACGAAGGGGCGATCCCGAATCCCTTCTGCTCATGTAACGGCACACACACACACACACACACTCACACTCTCTCACACACACACACACACACACACACACACACACTCACACACACACACGGTCTTTGTTGGTAACAGAGGCAAACACTCAGCACTCAGCCCTCAATCCACGGAGGACAAACCTCAAGAAAGCAAGCCGTGTGTCCATGAAGGACAGCTCGGGGCTCAGAGCCTGTCACGGGGCGGCAGGTGGGAAAAGCACCATGCAGCCCAGGTCGTCTCACCTGGGTGCACGTTCCCACGTGGCCAAGGCGGAGTGGGAGGCAGCAACCTGGATCACCATCAGCTCATTCACACACACTCACTCACACACACACTCTCACACACTCTCACACACACACACACATACACACACTCTCTCTCACACACACACAAACACTCACACACACACACTCTCACACACACACACACCCCAGCACCAGGAGTGTGCTCCCGCCATCGGGTGAGACAGACCGAGGCGGGGGCAGCGAGGTCCCCTGGCTGGCCCTGGCTGGCCGCTCCCCACTCTGAGAATCGGAAAATGCACACCGTCAAAGAGGAGCCACCCCGGGGTCACTAATGGTTAGCCGGGAGGTCACCAAGGCTGCGGCACTCCTGTGGGGTCAGACTAGAGGAACCTCGATGAGGAGCAGAGGTGAAGGGGAGAGGGCGCCCTTTCGGGTGTGGGGTCGTCACGAGGCTCTCGCCCTCACAGACATCAGCAGCACGGCTCCATCCAGCCGGGGGCACTCACGCCCAGTCACCCTGAAGGTCAGCCCCAGCTGCTGAGGGCGCCCCCCAATGACAGCCCCTCCCCGCCCATTTGGCTAAATCCCCTCTAACCCAGCCCACCAGCCCCACGGCTCCGTGGAGGTGTGGGCCTCCCGCACCCATGCTCTCCCCTGAGGGAGCGAGTGAGACGGGCTCGGGGCACACAGCTCCGGAGGCAGAGGGCGCTCCCTGGGCGGCCAGCGGCCGCTCCTCCAGGCCAGCTCCCAGCGCAGGTGGCACGGACCACCAGGTTCACTTAAACACACAAGTCCTCGTCTTGGGAGCAGCTCTGAAGGCCTCTATTTAGCTGTGAACCTGGATGGGGAGTTTCTGTGCTTCCCCGCGCGTCTGAAATCGTCATTAAAACGTTTAAGAGAAAAAGAGGCTCGTGGGGGCAGGAGCCATCAGGCGGCTGCCGGAGTGGACAAGGGGCCACCTCGCCCCAACGGGCCCCATGTTCCACCAAAGACCCAGCTCCGATGGGGCGCTGTGGCCCTCCGCGCGGGGCGCTGGAGCCGCCCACGATGCTGGGTGAGCCCGGGCTGCGGGCAGGCTCGGACAAGGACACGGCGGGTGGTCAGGCTCGTCCCACCCGGTGTCTTTTGCACCAAGACACCCGGAAACGGGTTTCCCAGGGCGCCCTGTGTGGGAACCCCTCCTGTAAAACATCTTGAAACCAAGGACTCGGTGAGCTAATTCTTAACCACCTGCTTCTCTTCCTCACTGAGGGAGGGTGGGGGGAGGAGCCCGGCCTGGAGCGCGGTCTCGCCGTCGTGCTGCGGCCATCTGCACCGTCAGGACGGGAGTCCTGGCACAGCAGCGCTCAGCCGTGCGTGCTGGTGACCTTGGGCGAGCTGCTTCCCATCTCGGAGGCTCAGCTTCCGCACCCCTCAAAGGAGCAGTGATGGAGCCTCCTCACAGAAAACGGGTGTGAGGGCTACCCGTGGTACCAGGGGGCACCCTGTAAGCGGGGGAAGTGCCCACGGGGCTGGCATGCTAACAAAGCTTCCACTGAAACACTACACACGGAGAAGGCTCCAACGGGCAGTGTCCAGCTCGAGGGATGGTCACCAAGGACACCCCCAGCCAGCAGCCCTCCAAGCGGAGCACCGCTGCTCCCAGGCTGCCTGTGCTTGGGCCTGGCACGCCCCCTCCCTCACGTTCACCCTCCCCCCGGCGCCAAACACAGAGGAGCCGTGCCCATTTAAGATGAAAGCTCCGGCATCACAGTTCGCATGGCTGCCTCTGCTCAGCATTACGTCTGTGGTGTGGCAGCGCTGAGTTCTCCCGCATTGCTCCAGAACATTCCACTGCAGGAACGCGCCACAAGGTGCCTATCCTAAGTTGACGCTTTAGGCTCCTATTTTGTTATTATAACAGCAGCAGCGCTGGCCCTATGGGCAGGGTTGGCTTGGGTCCTCCGCCTTGATTCTGGACTTCGAGGGCAGAACTCACAATGATCTGAAAACTGCTGTGCGCGCACGTATGTGCATTTCTCTGGGGCTGGAGTCGTGCGCATTCAGCTCTCAGAGGGTCCTGTGACACAGACAAGTTAGACCCACGTTTACGTTCAGGTGCTACACAAGGAAGAGTCCTTTTTGGGAGAAGGGCCTTACGACACACTAAGAGGCCGCTGTGTCAGGTCTGCGGCCAGCCCACGTCTGACACGGAGGCCGTGTCATAACCATCTCGCCCTCTTCCGGACCGGAGAGCTGTCACTCATTCCCGCGGAGAAGCTGGACCAGGCGAGCCGGTGCCAGGGATGGCTCCACCCTCAGGCTCTGCAGCTGGACGCGGCCTTTGCCTTGGTGAAGCGAGGGAGACCTGACCTCGGCTTGCGTGTGCACGGGTGGCTTCCAGGCGGCATCTTCTCCTCCACCACGTGGCGCGCCACCCGTCCTGGGTAAGAGGTTCTCTCGTCCTGTGCCGGGTGAGCAGGATCCGCACCCTGACAAGCTGCTGGCTTAATGAGTATCATTACCACTTATTAATGGCTGTCAGCGGTGTCGGATACACCCAGAGGCGAAAAGCCAGTGCCGCCCCCAGTGCCCCTGCTGGGCGCTGGGAGAGGCCAAGGCAGGACCAGGGTGGTACTCCCACCCCTCGCAGGCCAGCACGCCCTGCTGGTCCTCAGGCCACAGAGCAATGGCGCCTGGGGTGAGCACAGCCAGGGGTGTTTCAGGCTGAGGGCAGTGGCAGAAGGGATTCAAAGGCGAAGGGAGAGCACCAGCAGAGGGATGACTCTCAGGCCAGCGAGGATTTGGGACATCACGTCCTCCCGTTTCCATGGCGCTGTGGCGGCCTGACGGCTGGTCTTCCTTGCCCATGCCAGTCAGCAGCAACCCGTACTAAGAGTGCACAGACAAGTGCTGGCAAGGAAGTGTCAAGGGTGGAAGGGCTCGAGGCGAGGGCAGGGCAGTGCCTGAGAACGGCTTAGGGGACACAGGCTGCAGGATCCTGCCATCATTCTGCTCCAGAAAACCCAACCCGGAGCCTCCAGCCCTTCCAGGAAGCAAGGGCACCCGCCCACCGACACACACCACGGCTCTGGACAACAGGGAGAGTCACAGACCAAAGCAATACACGCAAACTCTAATGTAAACATTTATTTAAAAAATACTACGGAGGAGAGATGTGGATTCAAAAAAGAGTCATATACAGAAACAAAATGTACTGGACCAAACAACAAGAGAGAGAACCCATAGGCACTGGAGAGGGAGGGAGTGGAAAACTATTTACATGTCATTTATAAAAGAGCGATTCTACAAGAGTGTAATACCAAATATAAATGCAAACTATAGTGGCATGTCACGTGGAGGAAGAGGAGGCCGGTGCCTCACGGAAACAGGAGGCGAGGGGCCTGGTGCGTGGGTTTGCTGTCTGCAAGGCCGCTGGCGGTGGGCTAGCCTCCCTCAGTCCTGACAGCGTCTGAGGGGGCGAAGAGGTGATGCGCTGTGAGGACAGTATCAAACGATCCAGAGGAATAAAATAGTCTGGGTGACTAGTGTAAAACAGGGCCTGTGTGAGGTCACAGGTGGAAGGTGTGAGGAGCAGAAGGTGGGCTTCTCCTGGTTCCTCCAAGGGTTGCTTCTGGCTGGAGTAAGCCCACTCCTCAGTAGCTGCTCTAGGTCACGGTCAAGGAGAGCCTGGTCCTGGGCAGCCCAGGGGAGGTGACGGCACACCTGCTCTTCGAGGCGCTCTCCAGGGTGCCGTTTCCTGTGGCTTCCTTCCTCCCCGATGGCTACGTGCTGCTCGTGGTCATTAAGAAAGACATTTGCCCAGGAGGGCGCAGCCCACACTCCTGGGCTTTGTGGCCGGTCCTCTCCTCCTGTCTGTGTGCCGGTGCCCACATCTGCACCGGCTGTGCTGAGAGCAGAGCTGTGAAATGCTTCAAGAACTCCAGAAAACTGAAGACTGGCTTGTCACAAAGGAGAAAGTCCTGCAAGAATCTACTTTGTCTTAGGGGAGTACAAGGGAGGGAATGGAGATCAGTCAGAAATCAAGGTCAAGTGCCTTTTTCGGGCACCTGCAAGTTCAAAAGGAAGGTAACACTGGGCCACTGAAGACCAGCCTAGGCCGGGGCCAGGGCCAGCTCAGCACCAGTGTTCACACAACAAGCCGCCCCTCTGCCCTGCCCCTGCCCTGCATGCTGGACGGCGACCTCTCCCCTTCAGCCTCGGGCTTTCCATCCAGAACGGGCAGTGCGTGTCACAGAGAGCTGGGACTGGGCTCGAGGACACGCAGCAGGATGACAGGACAGTCCCCTCCTTCCTGCGACCCAAGGCTGGCTTGTGTTAGCACCTGCAGTGCCCCCCAAATAAGAGCTGTCCTTCACGTGAGGAAGTGGTGAGGGCCCAGCCCCGGCAGCAGCGGAGGCCGAGTGACCGCTGGCAGAGCTCCCCAGGATGCAGTGCTGCAGACGGGTCTTAAGCACAAGAGGTACGAGGAGGATGAGGGTGCAGGCTCCCTCCACCAGTGAGTGAAGGCAACAGTTCCAAGGCCTGGCGACAGAGCTCCCCTTCTTTTTGGGGAAAAGGGAGGCAAAGGCATAGCCAGAGGAAATCCCCCAGAAAGAAGAGAGAGAGGAAGCGCTCACCCACCTTCACAGCTGGCCTGAAGGGCAGTCCTGCAGCCCGTGGGGAAGGGCTGGCGTGCTGACTGCAGTCCACCAGGCGGGAACCCACAGACAGAACTTGGACAGAGGCTCAGCGAGCGGCTGAGGAGGAGGAAGTGCAGGACAGTGGGTGCACAATGTAGGTAGTAGGGCGGTACTCCATGGTGGCCCTCCGCTCCGGGGCCAAGGTCCCAGCTCGCAGGTCCTGTGTCAGCCACCGCCACGGGCCCGGGAGCCCTCACACACTGCAGGCGGCTCTGGCTGGCCCGATGCCGGCTTCTGCTACCTCTGTACGATGTCACTGATCTCTTTCACGGAGCTGAGGAGCTTGCTGAAGTCCTGAGTGGCCGCCGGGCCACTCCCCGCGGTCGCCGGGCAGATCTGAAGCTCCCGGAGGTTGTTCTCCAGTTTGTTGATGGCCTCGCGGAAAGCGAACTTGTTCCTCATCTGCTGGATGGAGTCCACATAGCTCACGCAGAACGTGTAGAGGTTTTTGCCAGCTTCCAGCACGGCGCTGTGGCTGGCCATCTGCTCGGAGTTCTTGGAGATGGCACGGCACAGGGCCTCGGTGCTGTCCAGGACCACGCCCTTGGTGATGGTGCCGCTGGCGATGCGCTCGGGAGGCTGGCGGGTTTTCCGAAGAGACACGCGGGTCGATATGAGCGGGATGAAGGCGGTGGAGGACAGCTGGTCCCCTGCCAGGGCGGAGGACGCTGCCGGCAAAGAGGAGGGAGTGGGGCCCGGGCTGGTCGGGGTCCCCGCCGGCTTGGCGGAGGCCTGAGGCTTTGGCATGGACAGGAGCACGGGCTTCTTGACGCCCTCTCCCAGCTGGCTGGCTTTGGCAGCGTCACTGTTTACGGCATCCACAACCACAGCCGTGGGTTTCGCTTTCCCGCTGGCGCCTGCCTCCCCGGCTGCTTCCTGGCTCGGGCTCGGAGCGGGCCTCCCGGCTTTCCCAGCAGAAGCTGGCAGTGGGGGCGGCGGGGCAGGCTTGAGCTTGGACAGCCTCCCTTTGTCTCTCCCCGGGGACTCGGAGGAGGGCTTGTGCCTCCTCATCCGAGATTCCTCAGCGGGGGCCCTGCTGGTCCCTCCCGATGCTCCTGGTCCCGCTCTGCTGGCGGCGGGCGCTGGCTCGGCGGAGGCAGATGTTCCTGAGGCGCCGGACTTCCCGGCCTCTTCCTTGTGGGCCAAACCAGAGGAAGGAGCCACTGCCACCTGCCTGCGGAGCAGCTTTGGAGTCAGACTGGGAGGGCTGGAGCCCGGGCTGGACTCCGCCGTGTCTTTGAAAACCTCATCGGCCAGCTCCTCCATCTTCTTCACCAGCCTTGGCGGGGGCGTCACCGTGCCTCTGCTCACCTGGTCAGACCTGGTCTCACTCGCCCGCTTCCGAGGCAGAGCTGGCTTCTCGCTTTTGTGCCCTCCGAACGTGGACGAGTCAAACTGTCTCCCCGTAGACTGCAGGTCCCGGGGCAGCGTGACTGACCTCCACTCTGTGTCCTTGGCCCCGTGGGGCACGCAGGAGGCAGAGCAGGACCTCAGGAAGCGCTTGCTGGCGCTGCTGCCGCTCTCCTCTTCGCTGGCTGCTAACCGGCTGCTGGTCAGCGTGCTGGCCTTCCACACGTGGGGAGACCGGAAGCCTCCCGGCTCCCGGAAGGCTCCGTTGGGGACGCTGGCCCCGCTGCTGGGCTTCGGGGACTTGGCGGGCTCGGCTGCGTCTGAGGGGGTGAGGGCAGGCGCCCCGTTGCTGACTTCGCGGCCCTCCTCCTCCCCGGCCCCCCTGCGCTCTGGCTGGCCGTCCATCTCCCGGAAGGAGCTGCTGCGCTTGGGAGGGGTGGGCGCCGTCTTCTTCTTCTTCTTGATCAGGGCGCTGAACAGGTTGGTCTTCTTGTCTTTGGGGAGAAGGCGCTCATCCTCATTCAGGCAGCCGTCCTGGGGGCCTCGTCCTTTCCGAGGGAGCAATGGAGACACAGCGGGCTCGTGGTCCAGGGGGTCTGAAACACAGGGGAAGCGTCACCAAGTCCAAACTAGACTCCCGAGGGGGCGAGGAACCCCGCGCTAGCCTCCTACTCTGGGCTCTGGGCTCGGAAAGGCCTAGGAAGTTACTTCTTTTTGCTCCTCCTCAGCTTTCTCATCTGTGGGACAGAGGCTATGCCTGGCTGGCACTTTCAGTGGGTAGAGCATTAGCCTGCGCACCAAAGGGTTGCAGTCTTGATTCCGGTCAAGGGCACGTACCTGGGTTGCAGGTTTGATCCCTGGCCCAAGTCAGGGTGCGTGCGAGAGGCAACCAATTGATGTGTCTCTCTCATATAGATGTTTCTCTTTCCCTCTTCCTTTCCTCTCTCTTTAGAATAAAAACACTAAAAAAAGAAAAAAAATCACACACAAAAACTTGGGAATCATGGTTCTATAGGTTCTGCTGTGGCAAAGCATCCCGTATTGCCAGCCTGCCCCGTCCCTTCCCACTTAGTCTGTGACCATCAGAGACCCTTACAAGCCAGAGGCTAGCCCACCGGCACTTCTGCCCCACTGGGCTGCAGGAGGACCACACTTCTAGGGTTGGGGGCAGGGGGACAACTGCTACATCAGGGCAGCCTGGCTCCGAATAGAGCCTGGCACACAGGAGGCACCAGATCAGCTCCTGAAAATACTGAGAACCCTCCTGAACCATCCATCTCACTCTCGCTTCTCAGAGTCCAGACAGGACGCTCGTTCTGGGCCACAGCTGTGAGTGACACGTGAAAAGACGGGCTTCTCTCTCAGGTTTCACAGCACCTCTGCCTGTGTGACTGCCCTGACTGCTGATGGCTCACGGGGTGGGGTAGGTGTGCTTCGGGAGAGGAGAGCCCGCCTTTAAAGCCGGATTACTGACACGGGATTTGCCTGCCCTTCTGTGCAGGCTCGCTCACTGCGTCCCATGTGCCGCTGACCCTGGGCCGCCAGGGGTGTGGGGAGGGACGACATACCAGGCTCTCCCGGGCCCTTGGAGTGGGGCGTCTCAGGCAGGTCGGTGAAGTCTTTGTGCTCCGTGGCTCTCCTGGAGGTCCTTGTCTTGGTGGGCAGCTCTGGGGCCTGCAGCAGAGTACCTGCAACCCCTCGCATGCCTTTTTTCCCCAGTTCCTTTTCCACTTCTAAGAACCACCGAGAAAACAACAAACACACACACACACACAAACCAGCAGCCATTAGTATGGGTCACTTTTGGTGTGTTGGTTTTCTTTTTCTTTTTAAAGTAACAGTGTCATCTACACACATTTACAGAAAAGACATAAAAATAAGGAAACAACACTTAGTACTTTTCAGAATTCTGCATGGCTACGAAGGACAGAGCTCCACACTCAACACTTTTGTCCCGCTTTCTGCTCTCAGAGAACTTGCTGGCCCGCACACCTCTCCCTGGGAGTGAACTGAAGGACCAGGGCTGGAGTCCCCTACACCCTCCCTCCGACCCCAACCTTCCACCACGGCAGGCAGGCACCCCGAGGTCGGGCACGTTACCATCGGATATGCTGGACTCCTGAAACATGGTCTCAAAGGCTTGGTGGATTTCAGCAAAGGAGGGCCGGTCAGAGGGATTCCACTGCCAACCTGGACAGATGAGACCGAGTCAGACCACCCAGGAGGCCTTGCTAACAATAACAAGTACGTGGCTAGCAATTCTCCAGGAAAAGTCTAGAACTGAAAGAAGCATTCCACTCCTGCTACCAACCTTTCGGTGTGACAAGTTAAGTGATGAAGGCCAGTGGGTCCTATCAGGCATTAAGAATTTAAAAAGACTGTAGAATCTGGCAGCATATGGATTCCAAAACCCCAGGGAGATGTTGACAGTGGAACTGCATTCACAAACATTTTTCTCCCAAACCCACTCTAGCAAGGGCACAGAATGACCAAACCAAACAGGCCGCCTTCTACTTCACCTTACTCCACATTATCAAAGTCCAAACGCTCATTAGTGAAGACATGCTAGTCAACAAGGTTAAAATGAGGATGAAGGACCGATGAGGATGAGGATGTAGATTCACTCACACACACTTCTGGTGGGAGTATAAGATGGTACAACTTTTTTTGAAAAACAATTTGGCAAAATCTATTAAAACTTAAAATGCACACGGCTATCTGAGCCAACAGTTCAATGATTAGCAAAACCAGTGCAATGCAGAGGTGTGTGCGGGAGTGTTCACTCCCGCCTTGCTTATGGCAAAATCCCAAACAAATGTCCATGAAAAGAGGACTGAAAAGTCCCCCAATGGGATGCCAAACAGCTAGATAAAATTAACGAGGGGGTAGGAGGAGAGGAGAGACATCCCCAAATTATGAACGTGCGAAGATTTGTCTGTTACACTGCTAAGTGCAAAGAACACTGCAGGAATAGTCTTATATATATAATAAAACCATCCAGGTAAATGTCCCCTGGAGTGGCTACCTACTACAGCAGCTGTGTGAAGGTAGCCCAGGAGTTGGTATTTATTGAAAAGAAATCCAAGTTTGGTATGCATCAATCCCAATTTTGTATTAAGAACAAAAAACCCTGACACATAAAGGGATAGAGAAAAACTGGAAAGAAAAAAAAAAGTCTGCCAAACTATGTCTCCAGTGAGTTCATTCTCGGCTTTACACACGCCCTCCCGCAGTGGCATGCTTTACTAAGCCCACATCAATGTTTAGAACGGGCGGGGAGGCTCACATGCTCGCATGAGTTCGTAGACCTTCTCGGGGCAGCCCTCCGGGCGCTCCATGCGGTAGTCTTTCTCCAGCAGCTCGTACACCTGGGACAGGTCAATGCCCGGGTAGGGCGACATGCCGTAGGTAGCGATCTCCCACAGCAGAACTCCAAATGCTGGGGAGGAGAATGAGAATGGTCATTTGAAACGTGCAGAATTTAAGTATCCTAGATTTACGACTGGTTACCTGTGTAGAAGACAGGAGCTACACCTTCAGAAACAGGCCAGGCACTGACATTTTACCAGGCTCTTAACTACTAACTGCCCAGGACAGAAGGAAGCTTTCTGTTCACTCACCCCCCAGACCAGAACGCGCTGAAGGAGCAGAGGGCCGCGCAGATGAGCCCTCCAGGGCCTTGGAGGTAATGTGACCACCTTGTAGGGATGTGTGTGGAAGGAGCTAGGGCAGGTTGTCAGGAGGCCATTCCCACTCCTAGCTCTGTGACCACTAGCTCTGTGCTTAAGACAGGACCCTCCCCTTTCTGGAGTATGAGGTATCTCTAAAGTCCCCTCCAGCGCTTCACAAGAACCTTACAAAATCTTTATCCAGCCAGCATGGCACAGTGGTTGAATATCGACCTATGAACCAGGAGGTCAAGGTTCGAATCCCGATCAGGGCACATGCCCAGGTTATGGGCTTGATCCCTCGTGAGGCACGCAGGAGGCAGCTGATCAGCAATTCTCTCTCATCATTGAGGTTTCTATCTTCCTTTCCCTCTCCCTTCCTCTCTGAAATCAGTAAAAATATATTTAAAATCATTGAAAGTTTTGCAGGCCCTGAGTACAGCCTTGTTATTCCCAATCTCATTAGAGGAAGCAGAACTGACTCCTCCCTAGAAAAATGGGTGGCTCAGGTCTAGGGCAGGGAATGAAGTGGAAACATCACAGGCGATATTGAAAGGGTCTTGACAAAGGGACCAGGAGCAATGTGAAGTTCTTACCAGCCAAAGATGAGACAGCCTGAGCACCAATAAGGAAAATAACTGTAAACCCACAACCCAAGTACTTGCCCTGACCAGGAATCGAACCCCAGACCTTTAGTGCACAGGCCAATGCTCTAACCACTGAGGAACACTGGCCAGGGCAAAAAGTATGACTTTTATGATTTAATGGGAAGGTTGTACACTAACTGGATATTTAATAATATTTGGGAATTATTGTCTATTTTTGGAGGGGGACACTGTAGTTATGAGAATGAAAATGCCATCTTTAAAAGGTTCATACTGAAATACTTATGGTCAAAGTAATATGATATCTGGAATTTGCTTCAAAATAAGGGTCGGTGGAGTGGGCGGGGCACAGAGGATGCAAGAGCGCCATGAGGTGACCAGTAAGCTGGGGATGGGGGCACTGGCGCTCATTAGGCACCTCTGTCTTCTTTAGGGTATGCTTACAACTGCCACAGGGAGTTCTTTAAAAAGTGAAAACACAATGCTGTCACCTGAGGCTTCAGAGGTAAGAGCCTCCGGGAAGCCCAAACCAAGCCACAGAGCGCTCCCCGCAGGGCTGGCTGGGTGCCCCAAAACGAAGCAGCAAACTTTGAACGAAGATAAAGGGTAAGTTAACCTCAATTATTTTAGAAGAAAAAACTCATTTTTACTTCATTTTGAAGAGAGAATAGGGAAAAAAAGACTTTCAAATGAAAAAGAAAGAAGCAAAAAGGAGAATTAAATAATGGGGGGAGGGGCAAATGAGCAAGAAAGAGGCAGTGAGAAAGCAAGAGGAAAAAAACACAATAAAAACAGGAGAGAAGGCCCCGGGCGGCGGGGAGGGGCTGGGAAGCTGGGGCCTCACCCCAGACATCGGACTTGATGGAGAACTTGTTGTAGGCCAGGCTCTCGGGCGCGGTCCACTTGATGGGGAATTTGGCCCCGGCGTGGGCTGTGTACGTGTCCCCGGTCATCAGCCTGCTCAGGCCGAAATCAGCCACCTTCACCAAGTGGTTTTCCCCTACCAGGCAGTTTCGGGCAGCAAGGTCTCTGGGAAAGGAAAGATTCACCCATGAGAGGTCCCGGCTGGCTTTCCAGCCTCACAAATCCACCACCGACAACGGAAAAAGGGAGTCTGGTCCCCGGGAGACTCATATTAACTCCCACCAGGGAGCAGAGCCGGCCCTCAGCACCACCTGGGCTCCCAACATGGAGAGGCAGCGGGGGCACTGGAGGGGCCCGGGCCCCGGGACCAGGAGCACGGTCTTACTGGGATTCAGCTATCACATTCACAAATGGCAGGATAATCACAGCGCCTACTTCTGAGGGTTGTGGTGGTAATTTATTCTATGGAAAGTGCGTCAACTGGTGCCTAGAGAATAGTGTCACCTACCTACCTGTCTGTCTGGTTGTCACTGCCCTATGCCAGGAAGAAAAGCATAGGCCAGTCCTCGAGAAACTCACAGCAGAGCGAGTCTCCACTTGCACTGTCCAGACTTGGTGACAAAATAAAATAAAGCCCATGGCACCCTTTGCCCGGACTGTTCCCTACTTTCCCCTTTCTTCCTCATGCTTATCCAAATGAATCCTGAAACTTCCCTCCATATAATCGGCTTCCTCTTGCCTCCCGATTCTACCAGAGAGTAGGAATCTAATCTTGGTTCAAGGACATTAGCCATGAAATCACAAGGCAAACAGGAATGGAGCAATGAGCCGAGGCAGCAGCTAAAGCCATGGCTGCATAGAACAGCTCCATCAGAGGGAAATGAAACACAGAGGAGCTGTGCCTGGCAGGATTTTGGTAAAGGCTTCTAAGTCTGCTTGAATGAAGAGGGAACGGCCCTTGCTGTGCAAGGCAAACCAGTCAGGAAATCTCAATTTGCAGCCTCAGAGGGTTCTTTCTTGAGTGACATGTGAATCAGGTCTCCTGGGCATAGCAAATCTGTCGTACAAGGAAGCGCAGCGCTTCACACATGCTACCCTGTTCCTCACTGTGAGATCGCCCGTGCAGGTCTCATCCTCCAGTTAATTGGGTAGGAAAGGTCACCACGGTGGTGTGGAGAGCATCCTGCATAAAAGACTCCGGCAAAGCCCGTCAGGCTCTGTCCGGCACTGGCTGTCTCTTTGCTAGGAAGCCATTTCCACCACCAAAGAATGCGAGGACCAAGGTAATTGCAGCACACTTGAAGGTCAAAACACTCAGGCTTTAAAACAGCAAAGGCGCTTCTTTTAGAAGCACAGGCACACAATTCTGACAATTGTGGGAACATCGCTGACCCAGATGACAGCAACTTAAGTGGAGAATCAAGTGATAATGAGGAGACGGGAGGGGGGAAACCACCCCAGGCAGAAACAAAACCCGCGCACTGGCCATTACCGCAAACACGTGTAAAAGCAACGCCCACTGCCCAGGAGCAGGTCAGGACGCACGCGGGCTGGAGGAACAACGAGCCTCCACTTCAGAGGGAGCTGTGGTTCCGTGGAAGACGCCTTTTATGAACCATTTAATATTCTATTTAGTTCCAAATGGTGCCAAAGGGAGTGTTTCTTAGGCCTGGCCTTCAGCACACCGAAGCCAGCAGTGTCAGGACTCAGTGCTCGCCTTTGTTTCAGGGCTACTGTGCTGCCAGCACTACCCTTAGAGGCTGGGCAAGCAGGCCTGAGGCTGGGCTTTTCCAGAAGGATGCCCTCCCCCGCTCGCTCCCTGGCTGTGTGGGGGCTGCGCGGCCGGTCTTACCTGTGGATGAAGTTCTTCTTCTCCAGGTACTCCATGGCTGAGGAGATCTGAGTGGCCATGTACAGCAGCACCACAGCGTTCACCTCCTGCCGGTTACACTCTCTCAGGTAATCCAGCAGGTTCCCATAGGTCATGAACTCAGTGATTATGTAGAACGGGGGCTCCCGGGTGCAGACCCCTGCCAATGAGACATGGAGGGCCTCAGGATGCTGCTCCACTCCCAGCGGAACGGGTGTCAGAGAGGACTGGCACTGAGGGAAAAGGCTTCCGAAACAAACGCTAACTGCTCCCACTGCTAGTATGGCTCTGAGCACCTGTGACTGAGCTCCTGCTCCTGCTCCTCTCAGGCCCATGGACTCACAGGAGAGGCTGTCAGTGGGTTCAGAAGCAAAGGCCACGCCCACATCAAGCGGCCTAAAAACCATCGTTAGTTTACCTCAGTGGTTATGCCTGATGGTTATGTCTGTTTACAGAATCACTTCAGTGAAGGAACGTTAAAAATTCTTAAGTTTGCCACACTAGTGTGGCTCAGTGGTTAGGTGTCAACCCATGAACCAGGAGGTCACAGTTTGATTTCAGGTCAGGGCACATGCCCGGGTTTCAGGCTAGATCCCCAACACAGGGCATGCAGGAGGCATGACAGAATCATCATTACTGATGATTCTCTTTCTCTCTCTCTCTCTCCCTCTCTCCTCCTCCTCCTCCTCCATTCCTCTCTGAAACCAATAAAAATATACTTCCAAAAAACATTCTTAAATTTCAAAAGCCAATTTGAGATTTGAAAGCTTTCAGGTGTTAAAGTAGCAACATTCTCTCTCTCACAAACCCCCCAACACACAACCCCACAAAGGCCTCCTTTACCGACGGCTGACTGCCGGTGGGGAATCGGGCCAGCCGTTCCCTCTGCCCTAGCCGCACCTGCGCCCCCGAGGCTCGCCGACACTCACCAAGTAACTGGACCAGGTTGGGGTGCTTGATCTCTTTCATCACGGCGGCTTCTTTCAAGAACTCCTCCACCTCCATGGTGTCCTCCTGCAGGGGGAAAAGTGGTGAAATTCTTTCAGCAAGGAGCGTGCCTGAGTGGGAAAGTGCGGCATGAATGGTCAGTACGAGCTGGAGCTTCGATGAACAATCCTCTGGCCAACCAGTCCACCCGCACTGCCCCGGACAGTCCCGCTGCCGCCGCTGACCCCCTCACAGCACCAGGAAGTCCCCGCTGGGGCTGAGCGTTTGGATTCCCCCAGGGCAACACATCTGGGCGGCCTGTGTATGCGGGTGACTTGCTTCTGGTGGCACAGACCATATTGGTTTCCTTCACCTTGTGGAGTTGGGGGGGAGAGAAGGGAGGGAGATGTGTGCAGGCAAATGCCACAAACATGGTACTAGTCCTCTAAGGAACAGCGAGGTTTCACGGGGGCCTAAAAAGCATAATGTAAAAAAAAAATAAAAGAATCTGAAATGTGCCCTTGATTTAAGAGAGGAGACCCGGGTGATACAACAGATATTGGATTGCCAAAGAAGAACGACGTCTCAAAACACGGTAGGAACAGAGCATGCGACACTCAAAAATGTGGTGTCACGGGCTCTGAATGAAGCAGTCACCGCTCTGCCAGGTCCATTACTCAGATTCTAAAGCATCCTCAGGGCAGCGAGTTCGCAGCACCGGGATGCCGAGGGGAGACAGATATCAACAAGTGCCCAAAGCAAGTGTGAGGGACTGCATTTCCTCACATATTCTGAGTCTAGGCCGGCGATTTTCAACCCGTGTGCTGCAGGAATTCTTAACACGTGCAATACTGACTGTTTAGTCAAGGGCACAGACCTCTTTTCCCTTAGACAAATAAAGAAATGACAACAACCAATACAAAAATAGCTGCCTGGTGTGAATGAATCAAAATTATAGCTTTTTTTGGGTCAGACTGGCAGAAACATCAGCTTTTGGTGTGCTGAATTCAGTAATGAGTTTATGGGTGAGATGAAAAGGGCTGAAATCACTGCTCTGGGCGCCTGTGGGAGACCCTATTGTACAAGAGCCTTGTTGGGCCTCTGTTGAGTAACCCTGTTTCTGACTTAAAGAACCCCCTGTCCACACCACAGGAAGCAGTGGTGGCCTGTTTGCTGTGAGAATCTGGCTATAAAGGCCAATGCCGCCACCTCCAGGTTTCAACATGGACTCTGAGTTTTACTGAGGGAAGAGTGCATGGAGATGGGGTGGCTCCTCCCACCCCTTTGGGAGACGAAGATCTGACCGCCGTCCTCGCCTGACGGCACCATTCCTCAGGGAAGGCGTGCAGAGGGCGGCCAGCCTCTCTCAGCGCTTCCGTGCCTACAAGTGAAGCATGACCAATGGGTTATGTGTCAGCCATTATCACTGCTTAGTTAGGGCTCTGCGAGACTGAAACTCCGAACAATTTACTGCTCTTTAAAAATGGCGAGCTGCTCTAACTGCCAATTAAACAGCCGGTAGTCTCTGTGTCTGCTCCCTGCTGCCACCCCATCAGCTGCTTAATTCTTCCGAGTCCTCTCTACTAACACGCTCAGCCGACCGTGCCGTTTGGGGCGGGAAGTGCCCTGATTGACCAGCTGACATGCTAATGTCAGAGAGCCGACGCCTGCCAGAGCCGGAGACTCACTGCTGCTCGTGAAGGACCAGGAGCTGTAAGAATCTTGCTTGGCCAGCAATATGTTAAAAAAGTCGCTCTCCCATGAAGTTTTCTAGACACGCGGCGTTATTTTATTTTAAAGCGCCATGTACAGTGAAATAATTTCAGAAACATCCCGTGCTCTTACAGCTACTGGATCTTTTCTAAAAGAGCTGTGTCCTGAGACCTGGCCATGCACAAAAGAACACAACCTTCAAGGCACCCGCCTCTCTCTCTCTGTTCATTCGAGCACATGCTTGCACCTGCGTAGACTGTGCAAATAAAACCCTTTGAGGAGGGTCAGTGTGGACTTGTCTCCCTCTGCTGGAATCAGATCTGGTTCAGCTGACAATGGGAACTGCTGACAGCATCCTGCCCATCGCTGTCCCTGATGCCTTCCTGCTACATTTGCATTCCTTCAATTCTATTTAAAAACTTCCCACCATGTTTCTGAAGAGAATTCTTCCATTTACATAGTAAAATAAAATTTGCTCAGATTAACTAGGGTGAAGATGACACTGAGTAAAAGTGTGAATTCCAGGCTGATCCGTGAGGGCGGGGGATGGGTCGCCTGGCCTCTCTTCACAAGGACTGGCTGGCCCGGCCCAGGTGCGGGGGGCTTTTGGCTGGCACGGCCGAGAGGCTAAGAGACGCTGGCGAGTTCTGCTGACCCGGCTCTGCCACTGTGGACCCGGGTACGTGACTCACAGAATAGATAGCACAGAGGCCCTCACGAGCTGCCGTGCTCCCATCCACAGGAGGAAGAGCGGTGTGCCCGTGCAGAGTGCCCGTGCAGCGCCCAGGCCGCGGCAGCACTCCGCCAGTGGCACTCTGATGACTGTAAGGACAGCTGGCCTCTCTCCGGCTGCATCTAAGACAGGCTGGCTCCTTAGCACCGTTTCTGCCTTTCTCACAGATACATCTCCCAGACTCCACACCTCCCAGGTACGTTCTAGCAGCTTCCTCTGTGTGCTCAGGGCTCACCTCCAGGAGTCCGTATTCCACAAAATATAGACAACTCCACGTCCTGGGGCCGCACAGCTTTCAGGCCCCATTGCCGCCCAGGGTGGGGGACCCCAGGCCTGGGCCAGGGCTCCTGTCTGAGATCAGTTCCCACATATTTCAGGTTGTTAGGTGAGCAGGGCTACAACCACAGGGCAGTGCCATCCTTCGCCATCAGGTGGACCAGGGTCACGCGTTTAAACACTGGGCAGTTTCTTCACTCAACTGAGGCAGGTGCGCACAAACCCAGAGAAACATCCACCAGAAACCACCCAGAGGGAGCCCCAGAACTCCAGCCCACACACTGCCACGGTGTCCAGGCTGCCCCGCAGGCAGGAGACGCCGCTGAAGGCCCCGGGTGGCATGGCAACAGTGGGCACTGGCTGCGGCCCCTCCGGGTGCTCGGCCCTCGTGAAGCCAGAGCGCCCCGCGAGGACTGGGCCCGGCCAGTGCTGCCCCGGAGCCCTGCCTCCCGCTCACGGCTGGAGCTCTCCAATAAAACCAGTTCCTGGGAAATGACAAACATGAAAGCCAGCACACTGAGCTGGAGGGGAAGTGAGCAGGCGCTTCCTCACACTGCTGGCAGAGTGCAATGGTGGGCTCCTTGGGGGCACTTGGGGGCAGGGTCACAGCCATAAATGCCCGTGGCCCTTGGTCCAGTAGTACTACTTGAGCTGACCCAACAGGCACTCAGCCCATGTGCCAGCAAGGAGCGCCCCGCGGCCCTGCTTGTAACAGTCAAGTATGGGGAAGAATACAAATGCCTGCGGAGGCTGGTACAGCCTCAAATACAGCCACACACAGTGAGGCAGCCTGACGTGTACAAGCAACACCGTCAAGTTACGTGAAGTGGACACAGAAGCATGGAGCAGTGTCGATGGCATGCCGCCACATGGTTAAAAGTAATGCACACATGGACTATTTCTGGAAAGACACAAAAATCAAGGAGGAGACTGTGCACATCTTACCTGTTCGAAATAGGTAAAGAACTGGGTACAATTTTAAGTCAACATATAGCAACATTATGTTCCACTATTTTAATGGAAAATTTGTTAGCTTATGATTCAATCATAACACCCCAACTAGACTATCAGTAATCTTTTCTAAATTCTATAATTTACACAACTATTTCAAAGGAAAAAATTGACTTTTACAAACTAAGTTGGAACACAGCTCAGGTGAAACTTGGGGCTTTTTGTAGTGACAATTGGTTCTCTTACGCACATCTTGCCATTAGCAAGGGTCCAGTCATTAGCTCCTGTACATTAGCTATGTCCTACTGAATATTGTCCATATTCAAACTAGAGGTTCCCATCAGGAGGCCTTGGCTGTATTTGCACTTTCCCCATCCATAGGGGTCAGCCTAGCGCCTCCTTTTTTCCTCCAGTTTTCTTAGGTCTTCCTTATGCCCTGGAGGTCTAGGAGCCTAGGTGCCTGGGGGTTCAGTGAGGAGTCATGGTTAAATTAGGGCCTGGCTCCCCCTGCTGGTTCTGCCTGTGAGGGCCAACCATACACATCCGGCAGGACAGGGATGAGGGAAGAGACTGACTTGGGGGCTCACTGGGGCCTGGCACAGAGGCGCTGAGTTTGGAGGACCCCCTGGCTTAGAACTGAAAGGTTTTCCGGCATCTTGAAGAGAAAGGCAGATCATGGCTACCGTCAATGAGGGAAGAGAGTGGGGAGGGGGAAAGGCGATTTTAAAGGTACATAACCGTGGTTTGTGTGTATTTTATGGTGGGTGGGGAATGAGTGACAGCATGAGAATAACTGGGCTTGGAACAGGATGTCTGGGTTTGAGCCTGGCTCTGCCACTCCAGCCTGTAGAGCTCCAGGCAGTGACCTCACCTCCCTCTGCCTCCACGTCTCCAATGTTAAAAGGGGGAAATGCACTGCCCTTTCCTTAAAGCTCTCCTAAGGTTTCACTGAGATGCCACATGCAAGGCACCCGGGACTCTTCCAGGCACGTGGCAGGAGCTCATAAACACCAGCCATTACTGTCACCGAGAGTCCACCCAAGTCCTCACCTCTACAGTGGGGATAAATGCTCCAGGTACGGACACTAATCCTAGCAGATGAGTGGGAGCATGGAGAGGTCTTACACAGTATGAGGAAGAGGGCGATCATTTATTTAGAAGTCGCTTAGTACCATGTTTTGGGTTAACATCCCTCAAGATGGTGCCTTTTCCTTTCCCCAAATGGCTATCATTTGGGGTGACTGCTCTCAGAACTCCATGCAACTGGCTCCTCCTGTACCTTGGGATCACAAGTTACGAAGGCTCTTGGGGGGAAACCATTAAAAGCATATAATGAAGTTTAAAAATCCATCAGTAGAGAAGGACATGAAGTCCCTCCTCTGAAACCCCCTCTTCCGTTGCTCAGAAAACACCACCACAGCACTAGCTTCAAGCCACACGAACTCTACCTCTTTACAAGTTTGCACGCACGTCTTGCCTGGGTTGAAATTCCGTGTATTTTGTACTGTTAGTCTTCCTTGTTTCTTTCTGCAAATCCTGGCAAACGTGTGGGTGACACCCAGGGTTTTAACAGCCCAGTGTCTCGGGCCCGAGTGCTCAGCTGAGCGCTGAATGGAGGGGCTGCAGCACAAGCACGCCCCTTCCTGTGCCCCGTGGTCTGGAAGCGGCAGGGCAGGGCAGGGCAGGGCAGGGCAGGGCGGGTTAGTTCTTTGGGGCTCACATGTAGCCTCCCTGTGAAGCACAAACCCTATCATCACTTCCTGGGCATCAAGCCTTCGAGGGGCCCCGCTGCCTCCAGGACAGCATCCCAGCTCCTCACCCTGGCTGTGCCCTCTCTGCCCTCCACCTCTCTCTCCTGACCTTTGATCCCTTGGCCAGCGCTTGCTCCTCCACTATGGCCCCAGCTCCCGAGTCCCTTCATGCTCCCTCCCACCAAGCAGAGCTCACTGGGCAGCCTTCCATTCATTCCTGTGAAGTGACATAGCGCCATGCTCATACCTTTGTGGTCCTTGTCACACTCACTACAATTATGAATATATTGCTCATTTCTCCTACTAACTAGACTGCCTACGCCTACTACTAACCAGACCATTCTAACTACCTAGACAAGCCTGAAGTGAAGACCTCTGTCCAATTATTTCACAACCCCAGTGTTAAGTGCAGGGTCTGGCAAACAAAAGTAAGGGACTCATAAATGCTTGTTAAATTTTAAAAATCCCATCTGGGAAATACTTAGGAGTCCACAAGGTGACCCCAAGCCACACCACCACCCCCCGCAACGCACACACAAATGTCAGTCTCGCTCCCAGGACAGATCTCAGGGGTCACATTTAATATAGGGCCAGGAAGCTCTTTTGGTTGCGAGGAATACAGAATGTGATCTTTTCTCTAAAGCGTCCCATTTATTAGGCAGAAATCGTCGCTTCGCCTTCCTGTGCCTGAGGGAGGGTATCAGGAGGGGGATGGAGTCCCTGAAAGGCGAGCCTTTGGCTGCACGGTCTTGCTGCGGGGTCTCGCTGTGGTGTGCACATAGTTGGGTCCATTTTCTCAGCAGTGGAAGGTTTAGTTCTTTTCCTATGGCTACAGAAAGGGGCTGACTCGCTGAAACAGGTTTGGCTTAGTGGATAGAGAGTCGGTCTGTGAAATGAAAGGTCCCAGGTTCGATTCCGGACAAGGGCATGTACATTGGTTGCGGGCACATCCTGGTAGGGGGTGTGTAAGAGGCAGCTGATTGATGTTTCTCTCTCATCGATGTTTTCTATCCCTCTCCCTTATTCTCTATAAAAAAAAAAAAAATCAATGTTTCTCTATCCCTCTCCCTTATTCTCTATTAAAAAATCAATAAAATATATATTTTTAAATTTTTATTTTTTTTTAAAGGAAGAAAGGGGCTAACTATCTCGATTTCTGTGTACATGTCCCTTCACATAGTCAGAGTTCATTTAAAATAAGTGAAAATCATGCCAGCCAACACTAGGGGACACTCTCACCCTAGGTAAAGTGCGCATCACATAGGGAAGAAGGCTGCAAATGAAAACTTCCTTCCCTCGGCATCCTAAAGCTTTCAAAGAACTCCAAAAGGAAAACAACCCACCTAGAAATGCCAGCCAAACACTGTGCATTAGCGGAGAGGATGAAAGTACAGAAAACAAGAAGGAAGGGGCGAAGGGGGGGCCGTGTTAGGAGGAAGCCTTCATGTTTCTAATTCCAGAAGCCTGGCCACACAATGGAGAACTGGAACCTGCTAAGAAACAAATGGCACTTGCTTTTCAAAGCTGCCAACAAAAACCCACAGAATGTCAAACACATTTGGGTTAAATCTCCTTTCAAAACTGTAGGTTTTTATTTCCTTCCTTCCTTCCCTTAACGCTCAATAGGAAGTGATTCAAATGCCACACAAACAGAACGGAAACCCACGGCTTTAAAAGACTCTGGCCGTAGAATGAAAAAAACTTCTCCAAATGACTCATCTTTTTACACCAAAAACCGCAGCCCTTCTCAGCCCTCGCCATATGTGGAAACACACTGAGATGGGAGAATGACTCAGTGCAGAGAAACAGATGACAAGAAACTGAGAGCCAGCTCCTCGGCACCCACGGACCCTCGGCCCTGGGAAGGGGCCTCGGCACGCCCCGCGGACGACGAGCCGCCTCTCACTGAGACGGGCAGCAGAGGGGCTCCCCGGGGCCCCCAGCCAGGCCTACCTTCAGGGTCTTCACGGCCACCGTGAGGCTGTACTTCTTCCACACGCCTTCGTACACCTCCCCGTACTGGCCGCCGCCCAGCTTGTGCTTCATGGTGATGTCGGTGCGCTCCATCTCCCACTTGTCGTAGTTGGGGGACACGCCGTAGACGGTGGGCTTGTTGCGCTTGGGGGCCGGGTAGTGGAGAGTGGTGATGAGCCCGTCTGCCACCGTGGAGTGATGATGGACCAACTCGGCCAAAGTGTTGAAGCGGCTCTCAGAGGAGACGTAGAGCTGAGGAAAGAGCCCACAGAGTAAATGGACCAGCTTTCTGAGCCTGAATGGATGCACAACTCAATGAACCAGCTTTCTGAGCCTGAATGGATGCACAACTCAATGAACCAGCTTTCTGAGCCTGAATGGATGCACAGAAAACCCTCAGGTAAAGGGCTCCCACCAGGACCAGAGCTCCCCAGGCTATCGCTTACCTCTAAAGCAGAAAGAGGCAGCAACATGCCCCCGGGCCTCTGCATCTGCTCCTAAGTGAAGTCCTCCACCTGCCTAACCCTCACTGGTACATGCCTGGTTTTCTCACCATCCTGAGGCCTTCTCTGACCACCCGATCTAAAGCCGGCACCCAGCACTATCATATCCCGTCTTACTTCTCCGCACCGCTCACCACTAACTGATAATTCCGTCTTACCTGCTTGTAGAATGTCAGCTACATGAGAGCAAAGCTCTGAAATATCCATTTTTATCCTGTTTCCCCAAAGTTGAGAACAAGAATGAGCACAAAAATAGGTACTTGGTAATAGCTGTTGATTATAGTAGTGAAGGGTAGAACTTTAAAAGTACTGCTTGGCTAGAAAATATTTTAAAACTAGAGGTCCAGTGCACGAATTCATGCACAGGTGGTCCGGCCAGCCTGCCCCACGTGGGCCGACTGATGGGGACCGACTGGGCAGGCTGGCTCGGGGAAGGGACGTGTGAGGTTGGCCAGCTGGCCCCGCCCTCTGGTTGAACTCCTGAACTCTCAGTGGAGGGGTCAATCTGCATATTAGCCTTTTACTATATAGGATAAGAATGCTTATTAAAGCCTATCATTATTACTTATAATTATATAATTACCTAGAACTAATCAGAGATGAAAATTACTAAACAAAGCATAAATGTCCTCCTCATTCCTACTTCCTGGATTTGGCCAAGTAAGAAGCATCAGAGACCCAGGCCTGCAAGGCCCCGCAGTGGTTCCCCGTGGGGCGCTGGTCAGAGCTCCTCAGGAAGAGCCAGGCCTCGGGGGGCCGCCCGGGCTTTCCCACCGCAGGAAGTCAGGAGGCGGCTTTCAGACCCCGGTGTGTGAAAGCCTCTCTCTGATACGTGCAGCGGTGAGCAGCTGTGCAGGGAGCGGCCCACCAGGAGTTCTCTTCTAGACACAACAGAGGTGGGGGAGGCAAAGGAAGGAGGCAGAGGGCAACCATGTGGATGGTGACAGCTATCTTTTTTCTTCTCTCCGCTTCAGTGATGTGGTGAGGAAATCAATTCCACATTAAAACCCCCACAGAACATGTGGACTCCAGACATATAACTGAGTCTACTGGCTCACGGAGGCCAGACCACGATCCTGAAGAAGGCAGAAAGAATACTCAAAATCACAACTTGGTCATAAGACTTCCTCAAATTGCAAAGGAGTAGAAAGGAGGAATGAAGATTTGGAACAGTGATGATGCCTGGGGCAGGAGAGAGAAAGTCAGCTGTAGCTGTAACATCTTACTACGTAAATGGAGAAAGGGGAAGAAGCCTGAGCACACATGGCAGGGCCAAGGCCTGGCTGCGGTTATGGTAGACTCCATTACTTTCTGTATGCTGTAATACCAGACAGTTAAATACTTTAAAGGAAGGAAATACCAAATATACTAGTACAAATTGATCCTTCTACAATCCTCAACAGAATATTAAATAAGATTCATTAACAAGGATATTTTCTTTTTTTGCTGCTTAGGGAGATAACATAAATGAATTGTTAAAACTAAGGCAAGCCATTGGCACACCTTAGCTTATAGGTTTATAATTTATAATCTTTTGGTAGCAACCCTACAAAGATAAAATTCTGAGCAATTCAGGAATTATCCAGAAAGACTCCCCAGGCCTGGGAAGCTTGTCCCTCTGTGAAGACAGGACCTGGCAGGGTAAGGAGGCCCACCACAAGGCCCCATCTTATGCCTGAGAGCGCCTCGAAGTGCCTTCTCTAAGGACATGCGTGTGACACGCTCAGGCCTGAACAGATGCCGTGTGCAGGGGGTAGGGGAGCGCAGTCAGCCGCCCTCAGCATGCACAGCACCATCAGTGCTAGTCCCCACACAAGTGCAGTTCACAGAGACCCAGTGGACGTGGGCTCAGTCTTAAAGCCCACCTCGCTCTGGAAAAGTCTGCCGGGCGTGCTGATGCTTGACTTCAGGTTGTGATACTCTGAGTTCTCCTCAGCTAAGCGTACAGTGCCTTCCCTACCGAGCAATGGCGAGGAGAGAGAAAGCCGCTCCGAGAAGGCACTCCCTGGACTCAGAGCACCCCCACCTTGGAATCACGGGCACAGCACCGGCAGTCACCTGGGAGCAGGCTCATTATCTACTTCTCCGCCTCAGCTCCGAAGGAGTGCTCCCCAACCCGGAGTGCTCCTTCCATCGCCAGATGCCAAAGGCTCCCCAAGCCCGCGTTTATGTAGAATTTGTCCTCGGTCTCACTTGGTTCCCTCACAGGCTCCTCCGTTAGGCATTTCAGAGTTATAGGATCTCTCGATGAATGGACCGACTTCACCCTTTTCAATAATTAAACGGTGCCTCGGTTCATCTTTCAACATAAAATTTATATACCAACACTTAAGTATTAAAATTACTCTTCCTTCAATGCACTGCACAGCCTTCTTCTAACAGTCAAGCAGTCTGCTGGCTTCTCTGATTAATTCTCGTTTTTTAGCAGCTTTTGCTAGTGAACTGGGTAATCTCCATCAGGAATTCATGGCATGTGCAGAGAAGAAAGTGAAATTGGCATTATGACTGGCATGTCATTATGCTATGCAGCGGTTACATAAATGCTCTGGGTGCTCAGCCAGGGCTGGGCCTCTTCCTCATCACACAGGAACCTGAAAGACAGGGCTTGTCAAAGAAACTCAACAGGAACGGCTTTCCTCCTGACCGCGGCTCACAGGCTTGAGAGCTTAGCCTGGTGTGCCCTTCAGCTGCCTGACCCTGGAGTCCTGTCGCAGGTGTGCTGTGTGCAGGCTCCGGGCCAGGAGCGCCCTGCCCAGAGCCCTCACATACCAGCAGGAGGTGGAACTGAATAATTGAGCAGCGCTCAACAGTGCTCCCAGGCTCCTCCACAAGGGAGGGGCAGCTGGGTTAGCAGGCTCTTCATCAGGATGTCTGCACCTGCCGAACCTGTCAGGGGGCATCCATCTTAAGAGTCTAGAGATCACACATTGGCCCATCCTGCCACGTCTGCTAAAGCCTAAGTCTGAATTCCACTCCTGTCAGCCTGAGCCTGCCACTCCAGCAGACTGAGAAAACACGTGTCAGTGGGCATCTCTTCAAAGACAAGACTTCATCACAGGCTGTGAGAAGTGGTGGGACCTGACAGGGGCACTGCACCGAAGTAACGTGAAATCACAACCAGAAGAACTGAGGAGAATTTGGAGGGGGTGGTGAATAAGAATCAGTCTTTAATTCCTCATTGCTGGCAGAGCATTACAAATTGTGAGGAAGCTGCCAAGACCAGTTTAGAGCGTCGGCCTGCGGATTGAAAGGTCCCAGGTTCGATTCCAGTCAAGGGCATGTACCTTGGTTGCGGGCACATCCCCAGAAGGCGGTGTGCAAGAGGCAGCTGATCGATGATTCTCTCTCATCGATGTTTCTAACTCTCTATCCCTCTCCCTTCCTCTCTGTAAAAAAATCAATAAAGTATATTTTTTTAAAAATTGTGAGGAAGCATGGAAGATGACATCCGAGTCCCAGAGTATCTGAGGATTTTAAGATGTCAGACTAAGGCAACAGCGGTGACTCAGTCTGGTGGGATCCTTTCAAGAGTCCAGCTCCAAAGCCCCCCACTCCCAGGCCTGGGCTCTAGGTCCTGAGCTGGTGGCCCGGGCTGGCTGGCTGCGACTGCTGCCGAGAGCTCAGAACACGGAGAGTCAATCCGAGCCAAGAGGGTGGAGACAGAGAAATCCTCTGGAGCCTTACAGAAGAATCTTGGAAATTCCGTTGTTTTCTGAAGATCAAGAATTAAACCTATTCAGCCCCAGCCTGTCCCTCCTACCGACCTTCCATTTTCTTCTTGGAAGTCCAGGACGGACTGCAGCAGAGCTCGGCACGAGCAGCGTGTCAGTGCCCAGAAACACGGTCTTGAGTCACCCGATGCCTCTCTGTTCTGATGCTGGTCCACGCATTCCAGGAGCAGGACCCCACCCTACCAGCCTCCCGAGAGGAGCCTCCGCAGATGGTCTGCCAGATGACCCTGTGGGCCAAGGCACTGCCAGGAGCAAACAGCTAACGGGATGGCTTTGTCAGGGAGGGAGAAGGGCGAGAGGCCTAGGCTTTGATGAGCTGCTCAGTGTGGGTAGTGCCTGATCAATGAGCTTCCTGTGCTGCACCTGGAGTGAAGGAACCCCTGGCGCGCACCAGCCTTTAGACGGAGGGTTGTCTTCCTCGGCTAACTCTGAGTCTGCAAGTCATGCATCCTACATATCGACCATGCTCTCTCCCTGTGAGATGTCAAACTAGATCGTGCCTGCCTGCAAGGGTGCTGATTAAACATCCGGGGAGAAGAGATCACTACCCTGTTCAATACGGACCTCAACTGAGGACCATGCGGCATGGCTTGCCTCGGACAAGCAGCACGAATGGGAAACAATGTGCAGGAAATCACCTCCATTAGGTGCGCTCTGCTGTTCTGACTCATTAAAAAGGCACCCGTGGTCTGAAGGCAAGGTTTCCGAGGGCCTGCATCTGCAGACTGGAAGGACCAGCCCCCATCTGGGCTAAGTCCCGAAAAACCAGCTGATGAGACTGATCTCCAGTCACACATCAACAGACTATGCTATCCGCCACACAAACCAGCGCTGGCCCAAAGATGTCTGCCGTGATGAAAGCATCAGAAACTGGCAGGAGGGCTTTGGTCAAAGACTTTACCACATGCAAAAGAACAGGTAAGAACATTAACTATACATACATGTGTATACACTATATACACTTGTATGGATGGCACAAATGAATGTGTGAGAATAATCATAAACATGCTAAAAAGGTTAAGAAGAGGGGACTAGCCCTAGCAGACATTAAAACATTATAAAGCACTACACATTAAAAGTCTGGTATTGGCACATGTACAGGAAGACCAATGGAAGAAGAGAGAGAGGTCAACAGACCTAAATGTATATGTAAACTTGGTGTATGTCAAATATGTAGGAAAAGATGAACTTAGTAAAAGGCATAGGAATCATTCAAAATGTGACACATGCATGTTAAATGTAACGAGATACCAGCTTTACCAATCAGAGATGTTTCTACAAGTCTGCTAGCGGCTCTGAGGAGGTGCTGGTAAGAAAGCACACTGTACAATCTCCCAGAAGGCAAGTGGGTGACATCCACACAAAGGTACAGGCGCACACCCTCCCACCAGTTCTAGCAACAGCTTGCATATGCTCTGCTGTACTCAAAGTAGTACGTGCAGTGTTTCCCCAAACTGCGCTAGGTAAGACTGAAAACAACCTCACGGGCCACCAGCAGGGACTACTTAAATAAACGATGGCCATCATCAGGAAGGAGGAGGCAGCTCTAAATGTGCCGCCATGAACAATCTCTAAAGCGTATTCTCAGGTGAGGTGAGAAAAGCAAGATGCAGAACACTGCACTATGTATCGTTTATTTTTCAGATGTGAACGCATATACATCAGGGAACTCTGGGAGAAACTGGTACAGTGTTTGCCTTTGGATAGGGTGCTAAGATAAGAGACAAAATTTCTTTTCATTGTAATTCATTTTTTTCAAACCATGTGCATGTATTACATATAATTAAGAATACAAACACCATCTGGACCCACGCCAATTCATCTATCTACACCTTCAACGACTGAGCGGACTATGGGGTTGCAGACTAGTTCCATCCATTAATCTTGAGCAAGAAATGTCATCCCTCTGACCAGCCATTCATAATGCAAAAAAGCAGATGACAGCAATATCTGTCTGGAAGACTGAGTAAGAGATGAAATGCCCCAGCACACAGTAGGAATTCGCTAAGTGTTCATTCCTCTCTTCCCTTGGCGGACTCTTAAGAACCCTTTGTACGAAGATGACAAACCATCTAGTATATCAATCTCTTTAATGAACTAGTCCGGGTTTGGAAATCTACGGGTATGTGACCCCGTTTTTGTATAAGAACCGTGTCTAGACACACACATGATGTTCTCCATAGAAAGAAGGCTGTGGACCAGACTTATTTTGGGGAGGGTCTATTAAGGTGGCTTTTGATTTTTAAAATATCCATCTTTATCTAAACTTTCCTCACTGAGGATAAATTACCATCATAAGAGGTTTGTTACAAAAGAGTCTTAATGTAAAAGGTATGTACGAATCCCAATAGATATTCCACTTATCTTAGGAAACTGCTAACTGCCAACAGTCCAGCAGGACCATGAGAGAACCACACCAGCCCTTATAACAACATGTGATTGGTCCTCAATAGAGTCTTTCATGGGGCTAATAAATTGATACCTATTTACTTAAAAGCTTCTTCAAATCCCTTCTTGGTTGAGTTTTGTTGCAATAACTATCAACCTAGCCATCAGGACCTCTGGTTCTCCTGGCCAAATAACCCTCTCCCCTGCCCGTCAGCTCCCCTGGCTGGGCCCTACCTTGCCATCGGAGGCTGTGTTGATCCTGTAGTGGTACACCCTGCCTTCGTATCGCAGCGAGATGGACCTCTGCCCGGGGCTGCTCTCGCTCTCCCGCACCAGGAAGCTGCCGTTGATGCCGCTGCTCAGCAGGTACTCGGCAGCGTTGCGGGACACCGGCCCGTGGTACCAGGAATGTTTCTCCAGGCTGTTGACGGGTGTGATGTAGTTGCTTGGGACCCACCCTTGGCCATTTTTGGTTTGGGCTTCACACCATTCCCCATTGTGATTGTAGCCTAAAACCCGGAGCTTTTCACCTTAGAAGAAGAGAAGCAAATCAGACACATCAGCTTCATAGGCTAATTCGCTCATTCTCACTTAATCTTATATGATTACTAAAAATCTCCAAATTCCTACATGCCTACTTCATTTCAACAAGTCCACATAAATGTATGCATTCTAAGTGTATAAGAGCACATTTTATATGAAGTTTCCTGTTTGTACTGAAAACCGAGATAAACATAAAGCCTCAGATTTCAGAGATCTATTATGTTTTGTTTACTCAAGTGCCCTAAAACAAGAAGCTTTTTAGGGAAAAAACAAAAACAAAAAACAAAAAACTTTTTCTTTTTTTTTTTTTAAGTGTTTTGCCCGGTTGTTGTGACTCAGCAGTTGAGCACTGACCAGGAACCAAGAGGTCACTGGTTCAATTCCAGGTCAAGGCACATAAAAGGTTTTCAAGCTCCATCCCCAATAGGGGACGTGCAGGAGTTAGATGATCAATGATTCTCTCTCATCACTGATGTTCCTATCTATCACTCTCTCTCCCTTCCTCTCTGAAATCAATAAAAACATTTTTTTAAGTGTTTTTCTGTGTCTGGTCCGGTATCTTTTTCAGTATAGAAGAAGGCAAGATCTTTTGTGAAGAACTACTACACTGGAACTCCTCTCAAGAGAAGTGACTCTTTTTTGGATATCTCGACATTCCAAACTTTAAATCTGCTCTTTTAATCAGCAAAGGATTGAACAATCAAGCCACAATTTCACCCAATTTCTGGCTCTTGCAACTACCACCTCTGCCCACAGCCCTTTTACCTTTAGTGATACTGAGAGTGTTGTCCCCACTGGCCACAAAATCATACAGTGCAACAAAGAGGTTGGGGTCATTTTCACTGGGACCAGCGAGAAGGTTTTCCTTGGAGTTCCAACGAGCTGCTTCGCTCAGACCTTGGGGCTCGAAGTCAGATGCTACTGGCCTTTGGAGGGCTTCTGGAAGAGAAATAGGGAATAGAATAAATTTAAAAAAATAATTAAGGAAAAATTAATTTTATTCTCATGAGCAAAAAAATAAATAAATAAAAAAATCTGTTATTTCCAAAATTATACATTCCTAATTTATTTTGTTTCTTAAAGTAAGAAACACCTGTGCACTTCACATGTTAAAAGAAAGGTGGTGTAAAGAATGGACTCTTCCTTTCCCAAATCTTGTGGAAAACACTAAGTATTTGCATTCCAAGGTGGAGTTCCCAAGTAGCTTCAGCCATTTAAATGCACTAATTCAAAATGAACTGGAAATAATCCATCCTCATAAGTCTGCTGCTGCTTATGCCTAGTATGGAGGGCAAGTTTCTTGCTTTAAAACGTTCTTAAGTTTACAAACATATGCACAAACATATTTAAAATCAAATATTACAGAAGGGCTTATAATGAAAAACAAATATTTTCTATCCACTCTCCTTTACGCCTGGAGGCAACAGCTCTTTTTCTGGTAATTTCCATCTCTCTAAACGTAAGCTGCATCACTAGAACCTGCGTCCCTGCCCCATCTCTCCTGCGCTAGCCACTATGTTACCTTTGTATTTTCAGTAGCAGGCTTGCACCTTTCTTTCTTTTCCTACCAGCTAGAGACAGTGTCCCTCAACTATCTACTTGGTAAGCTATGTTAACACCCTCGCCTTCCTTCCAGCTTCCCTCGCTCTGTGCTCACTCTGCAAAGGGCCTTCTTTCCTCTTCCTTCTACCCTGTGAAAGGTAGCGTGTCTTCTCTTCTGTAATAACACTCTCATGCTTTGTCTGTAGGTAGATTATAAGGTTGAAAACCAATAAACATCTCTTAATAGTTTACTATTAGTCACTACAGGTCAAATAATTCATTATTTTCTCCTAAGTTTCTTCCTGCCTTTCTTTTTCTTGAAGTACACTCAACCGCTCTAGAATTCCTGTGATGATGACAACTATGCACAAGGGTTCTTTGAAACCAGCAAATCTACTCCAAGTGGATCTTAACAATTGTGTAAGGATATTATAAATGAAATATGAACACTCATTTAAGCAAACTACAATAAGAAAGCAAACTTAAAAGGGGGGGGGGGATTCTAATTTGAAAGAAAGATCTACTACATACTTAAGCCATACCCAAATGGTAACAAAACAAAACTGTTTTCATTTCCTCTCTTTACGGATTTAGAAGACATCCAAATACCTTTTCTTGGGCAATAGCACCCATCTTGAGAATAGGCCTGCCCTAGCTGGTTTGGCTCGGTGGATAGAGCGGTAGCCTGCAGACTGAATTCAGGGTCCTGGGTTCAATTCTGCTAAAGGTCACATATCTCTGTGGCAGACTCAATCCCTGGCCCTAGTTAGGGAAGGGGTGGGAGGTAACCAATCAATGTGTCTCTCTCACAATGATGTTTCTCTTTCTCTGTCTCTCCCCCTCCCTTCCACTTTCTAGAAATCAATGGAAGACTATCCCCAAGTGAAGATTAAGAACAACAAAAATAAGAATAGGCATTGATTCTTCAGCATTCACTTAAAAACAAAACAAAAAACCCACTGGAGGCACCCAGAACATCTAAAGGGACCAAGCGAAACTTCCAGAAACATGACTGGACAACTTTCAAAACTGAGCATTCTTTAATAACTCTCTGGAATAACCCAACAGAATGTGAACGAAGGCCTTTCAAGTCTAGCTTTTGTATACAGACTGAAGTAAACCTTCAGGAATTTTCCTAAAAGAATGCATCCCAAGTTATGTCATTACTATGCTTGGAAATTTCATCTTATGAACTACAGGGACACATAATTTAAAGGAAGAGGGTCTGGATGTGGAAAAGGCTCAGTGAAGTGTGAGGTGTAGGTGTGACCTGCTGAGTGTTTACACTGGCTCTAAAAGTGTGTTTAGTACCATCGTGATGAGGGGTTGATCAATGAACAACAAAAAGCTCATTAAAGCAGGGAATTATTATTTTTTATTAAAATATGTGACCTCCACTCCCGACTGGAATATGCATCCGTTTGCTTGTCTTGGCTACAGGGCCAAGGACCAGCCTTTCTGTGTGGATGTGCACTCAGAGCTGGGAGCTGTCTTCTTAGGTACGTCCTACCTGCAATGCAGGTCTCACCTCCGCTCACTGTCCTGCAGGCGGAGGGAGAACTCAGAGCATTCACTACGTACCCAGTACACCCTTCCAATTTCCCGCCGGTGCCTTACTCACCTTGCTTCTAGTCCAGTAGCAATTTTATAAAAGTGACCTGCCTTTACTGAGTCTGTCTAAAGCATTCATTTTCATAGAAAGAATTACCGTTTCACATTTGGATTTCACTGGTTTCATATTAACCAAGTAATTGAAACAACAAGTATCTAAACAACAACAACAACAAAACAGTTCAGAAACACAACTGGCTTTGGTGTGGCTGCAACTCCAGGGATTGCAGTGCTCCCAGCAGACATTGGGGCATGTCTTGTATCTGTGCCATGGCAAGGGTAGTTGAGTGCAAGGGTCAATTCAGCAAGTCAGTTAAGTGGAAGCAAAAAGAACGTCTACCATCCTATATAATAAAAGGGTAATATGCAAATCAATCCAACAGCAGAACAACTGGTTGCTATGATGCGCACTGACCACCATGGGGCAGATGCTCCACACAGGAGCTGCCCCCTGGTGGTCGGTGCGCCCCCACAGGGGGAGTGCCGCTCAGCCAGAAGACCAGAAGCCGGGTCACAGCTGGCAATGCAACAGGGATCATGGAAGCCTCTCCCGCCTCCAAGGCCGTCAGACACCCCCCAAGGGCTTCGGGACTGTGAGAGGGCACAGGCGGGCTGAGGGACCCCTCCCGAGTGCACGAATTTCATTCACTGGGCCTCTAGTCATTATATTAAGTAAATTAGACAAAGGATGATTCTTAACATAAAAGAACTTCATATCAAAAGAATAAAACATATCAAAAGAATAAAACAAATCCCTCCACTATGGAAAAATAGACCAAAACCATGAATAAGCAACCATGGACACAGACAGTAAGGGGGGAGGCCATGAAATGGGGAGTGGGAGTGGCTGGGGAGAGGTCAATGGGGGAAAAGGAGTCTCATGTAATACTCAAACAATAAAGAATTTAAATTTAAAAAAAACATGAATAAGCAAGTCACAGAAAACAAGTTACCATTAAAATGGAAAGCGGTTTAACCCTCTAGTAGTCAAATCCTCCATTAAATTGGCTGGTACATTTTCTTGAGGCTAACAGTGTGAGATTTCAATGAAACAGGCACTCTCACATTATGCTGTACTCGGTGCAGAAACTGCTGTAACATTTTAGAAGGCCAATTAGAAATATGAACTGAGTCTTTTTAAAAATTCTGTAACATTTGTCCTACCGCTAGGAATTTATTCTACAAGGGCCACACAATGATCTATATAGAGTGATTTTTAAATAGCAAAACATAAAAGTACAAAATATTATCAACACAAGATAAGTTAGTTTATGGTCCCATCCATAAAATAGAATCCTATATAATAGAAGCCTAATATAGTAGGTCCTCAGGTTACGTCAGAGATCCTTTCCTACATTAGAGATCCGTTCCTAAGGCAAGACATAAGGCGATTTTCACAGTAAATTGGAATTCACCTACACAAGCACCTACGTCATCAGATGGAGCACATACACAACAGTAATGAAGTGAAACTAAAACATTTTAAAAAGAAAGATAACAATTCCTGACCTTTACTTGTCATAAAAACAAAACAAAACACATAAAGCACATATGTACATACATCGAAATGATGGAACTTTTTTTTAAATAAATAAATGGGAGATGGCGATGTAACCACATAACAATGAAATGATGTATGTCGAGGACTGCCTGTATGCTAAGTGTCTGGTCGGCCATTCAACCAATCAAAGCATAATATGCTAATGATATGCTAAAGCTGTTAAACCACTCGATATGACATACACTGACCACCAGGGGGCAGACAGTTGACAGGTCAACCAGTGCTATGACATGCACTGATTACCAGGGAGCAGATGCTCTGACCAGTAGGTTAGCTTGCTGCTGAGGTCTGGCACAAGATGGGCCCTGGAGCTCTCCGCCTTGCAGGCCCAGCCCCTAATAGGCCCCCATGGGGGTGGGCTGGCCAGATCCCACCCGTGCAAGAATTTGTGCACTGGGCCTCTAGTATACTCATAAAGCCGTTCAAAATATTTTTGGAGAAAATTGAGAAAAGCCCAGAAGGAACCAAACTAAAATGTGAACAGCAGTTAACTCAGGGTAATATGTTAACAGTACCATTAAAAGTAGTTAAAAAGTGCCAAAACCGGTTTGGCTCAGTGGTAGAGTGTTGGTTGGTCTGCGGACTGAAGGGTCCTGGGTTCGATTCCAGACAAGGGCATGTACATTGGTTGCGGGCACATCTCCAGTAGGGGGAGTGCAAGAGGCAGCTGGTCGATGTTTCTCTCTCATTGACGTTTCTAGCTCTCTATCTCTCTCTCCTCCTCTCTGTAAAAAAATCAATAAAATAAAATAAAAAGTAGTTAAAAAGTGGTTAATTCAGGGTAAGTGAAATTACAAACATTTAAAATTTTCTTTGTTTCCTAGTATTTTGGATGTGGATTGTTTTTATCATCAAAAAACAATTACAAAAATAAGAAAAAAATCTATAAATAGAAGCCAGCTGATGTTTATATAATTGATAATCTAACATTAAAAAGTACACTGAGGGAGGAAGGCATCCTCTCAAGTTGTCCTTAAAAAGTATTTGCTTGTTTCCCTCTCGTGTCCCAACCCCATTGCCATGAGCACACAACCTTGGCAGACCAAGCCCATACAGGAAATTAAACCGAAGTCATGAATACAGTAATGCTTTTCTTTTCAAATGCCATTTGACCTCTTCTATCAAGCATTCTGCAGCATCTGGATTTGATCAAAGAAAGTTACATAATCAGGGGAAGTGGCCTGGAAAGCACCTGGGACAGGCAGAACACAGATACCCAGGGGTG